AAACGCTGCCATGCAATTTCCTCTGGGGAGTGAGCTGCCTGTCACCTGTCACCCCTCCTTCCCACACGAAATGAGCCTTAATCAGAGGAGGCGCGGCTCAGGTGGCCGCGGGCGCAGGCTGGTGCGGGCGGCAGGGAGCCGGCCCGGCGGCTCTCTCTAGGGGTGGCCGCGATCCAGTCCACATTAGAGACACAGCAGGAGGCCACAGGCGCAAACCAGACCCAAACGGACGCTATCCCAGCCCCAGCGCGGCTCGCGGCCCCCACACAAACCCAGCACAAGTGAGGGTTTTAGTGCTGAGAGGTATCTGAGTGCACACACACGCACGCGCACACACACAGAGCCAGAGGCTGGGCCCTAGCAGGCCCTTACTCAGACCTGGGCCTCTGCCAGACATAGCCGCCCAGAGGGAAGCCCCCCCATGCCTGGAGAATGAAGAAGAACACAAAACAGCACCGCTCACACGGAATAGTATTCAGCCATAAAAAGGGAAAGGGATGCCAGGTGCTGGGGGCTCACGCCTGTCACCCTGACCTCAGGAGGCTGAGATCTGAGGATCATGGTTCAAAGCCAGCCCAGGGAGAAGCGTCCCCGGGAGATTCTTATCTCTCATTAACCACCAGAAAACCACAAGTGATGCTGTGGCTCAAAGTGGTAGAGCGTTCACCTTGAGCAAGAAAAGAGCTCAGGGATAGCACCCAGGCCCTGAGTTCAAGCCCCACAACCGACAACCACCACCACAAAAAGGGGATTCTGCCCTTTGCTAGGGAACGGACAAGCCCACAGGGCGCTCAGAAAAGTGACGGAGGTGACCGGGGATGGCCCCCTTCCAGGAGTCCTGGCTGCAGGGCGTGGCTGGGGGGAGGGACCTGGGTCTGGAAACGCACTGGGGCAGGACGGCCGTACAGGCCGGGGCCTGGAGAAGCCGCCAGATGCCTGCAGAGCCCAGGCCTGGCTCCCCCGTAAGCTGCTTAATGGCTGCGCTGGCCCTGGCAGATGCAGGGAGATGAAGGCGGTGGAGTGTGCTTAGGAGAATGCCCAGCGCGGCCGGGGCTGCCACGAACCTGCGCTGTGGGCAGCCAGGTCCCTGGAGATGCCCCCCTCGTCCCCGCCCTCTGCCCTTCCAGAGTCAGAGCCCAAGTCCAAGAGCGGCTGGGCGGCCGGGCAGCCGGGCGGGTGCCGATCCTGGCTGTGCCCGCGCCCCTCAGAACCCTAGCCGCTGCTCCTGTCCTGCCAGTCTGAGTCCTGATTCCCCTCAGAGCAGACACCACGTCACCTGGTGTCACCTCCCCCAGGAAACCCGCCGTGATTCTGGCAGCGGGAAGCAGGGCGCCCCTCCATGCAGGCCCACCGGGCTCCCCGCCCTTCCCCCAGTGTGCTCCCAGGTAGCACCCCAGCCGGACCCCCGCGAGGCTCTCTGCCAGTGGCTGAGCGGGCCGCCCAGGCCAGGTACACCCGGGGCACAACCGCCACGTCCGCCCCGGCCCAGCCCCGGCTGCCCTTGGTGCGAGGACTCCGTGGACTCCATGGACTCCGTGGACTCCGTGGACTCTGAGCCCC